AAAAAAGGACAAAAAAGGGGAAAAAGTTAACCAAACAGAAGATCTTTGAAGTCACTAACTTCTGGAGGGAAAAAAAAAGTCTTGTATGAGTTCAAAGTACCAATAAATCACAATGTAGCAGAAAGCTGCTTAAAAATACTGTAGATGGAATATTGTGCATACTTTTGGCATTGCCCTCTGTTCTCAGTAGGGCTAACAGAGCTCAAAGGTCTTCAAAAGGAAGGGCCAAATTCTTCAGCTCTCAATCAAATGAAACCAATGGGAACTATAATCAATTAAGGACTTCAAAATTTGGCCTTAAATTTCTCTTCCTCCCTTTTTGTCCAAACCTAATATGGTCAATCAGAGAAGGTTTTAGAGGGAGGAGGGAAAACTTTTCAAACCCAATAAAAGGAAGTGTCATTTTGACTCCAAAATGTTGGCTCATACAGGAGTATTGAATAAAGGGGTCTAGTCTCTTTTCAATGTGCAGTTGTCGCAGAGGCACAAGACAGCCCCATCAGTCTTCATAACTAACCAGAGTAAACATTGTTATTAATACCTTCATGTTAACATATACAAACACATTATATCAATACATTTTCTTACAAAGATAAGCATCTATTTACAAGGTAAATCTGTCACTACAACTTCAAATTTGTGTGTGAATCTCTAAAATGTTGCATTTGCCCTCCAGACAAGTGTCCATTTATGGGTGTTAAAAGTCACCTTTGAGAGGAGATAGTTGCATTATTTATTTACAGGGCTAAAAATCTTTGAAAAAAGTTTGCCATGACCATTTTCAGTCCTCCAGCAGACTACATTACAAACTTAAAGACAACAACATTAAACAGAGTATTTAAATGACTAAAGTAAAGAGTCAGTTGAAGAGAGGTCTTAATTTTTCAGTGTTTCCTGTGACCTGGTCAAAATTCTGGTGTGTTCACAATGATGAAAGGGATTAGGGGGGCGGGGGAGTGAGGAAAAGAGAGGAATGACCACTTCTTGGGACTGAGTTTGATCTTATCTACACTGGAATAGATCAAAATTCGCTTCATTCATTTCAATGGAGTTCCACTGGTGTAAAACCAGTGTGAGATCAGAATCAAGCTCCTTGTGTAAAAAGGTTTAAGAAACTATTCTATATTTTCTGTTAATAGTGTAACAGACTTACTGTTTCTTCAAATGAATGTGGCAATGAATTGCTCAAGGATTGCATCATGTGGGCTCCAAGTTTCCTAAAGGCAGGCAAACTTACGAAGCACCACAGAATTACATCACTACAGCAATAGAGCTGTACCCCATGCAATCTCACTGTGGAAGATAGAAAATAGCCACCTCGTGGTACACCAACACTCATCCTTCATCGATTAAGCTATGAGCCTTTCATTCATTCTTTAAATTAGGTGGTGTCAGATTGGAGCATGTATCATTTTATGAGGCTCTCAAGCACTCTAGCCTTGATTATAGCCAAATCGGTTAGGCTTGAATTTTGTTGTTGTTGTTGTTAAAGATAATAAAAATGATTTGCCAGCAACATTTGGCTTTTATTAGCACATAAATGTGCTTAAGGCATCTAAGACAAGGGGTAATCACCCCAACCCCCAAAACCAACCCTGTTCCAAAGAGTAGCCCATTTTAAAAAGCACTATTTCAACTGTACATTCTTAGGGCACATTCAAGTTGGTCTGTAATGGCTTGAGTAGGAGAATCAGCTTTTGCAGCATGAAAAGCAACAGCAGAGGAGTGTTCGACAAGGGTGTTTCCTCCTGTATTCCAAAGCTTTCCTCACCTGACATTTAGCCTCTCCTACATAGTCCTCAACTTTTTCCACATTCAGTTGAATGATGTCAAAGGTGTCGGCCTGTTGCTCCACCAGTAGTGCCACCTGCAGAAAGAGCTCATGAACCTCCCTGATGCGACTCTCCAACTTCATCAACTCTTTGTGTCGCGTCTCTATCTCATTCAATGCTGCACGAGCCCCTCTGACATCAGACAGGAGATTCTCAGAGAAAACGTCCCACTTGCCTTGCTCGATCATGTCTTCAATCTGGTTTCCGGAAACATCCTTGCCCATGATCTCCAGCTGTCTCTGGATCCGAATCTTGCAGTTCTCCCGCTGGTTCATCTCTGCCTCATTGTACTCAAACATGGCTTCCTGAAAGGCATGCATGAGGTCAACATAGTGATTCTTTGATACACGGGTTATGACAGACATCGTGCCATGTTTTGTTTCTGCATCTTCACTGAAGTCTTTCATTGTCTGGAGTTTCCTGTGGATGCCTTCTCCACGGGCCTTGATGTCTTTGGCAATGCTGTTAGTATCTCGTTTGATACTACTAAGACGGCGCATGGAGGTAAGAAAGCGATTATTTTGTTTACCTAGCCGTTTGACGTCCTCTTTCAAGTGCAGGTTGTCTGTTCTGATACTCTGGATATCTTTGTAAAGAGCTGCGAGGGCATAATCAGTTTCAAATAGGAGGGTTTCATGAGGTAAACTCTCATCATCCTCATTGTTAGGAAACTGTTGGTTATAAAGCCTAGCTAACTCATACAGTTCACATAACCGGTCTTTCATCCTGCCTGTAGGCAAAGAGGGTTGGGGAGAAGGGGAAAAAAACAAACAGAAAAATTAAAAAATGTATTAAATAAAATATATATATTTTTAAGTTTCACATTTAAAGTATCTTTGCATAAACCACCACAAAATACCACCCTCTCAACTTCCCTGAATCACTTGACACATGTCACTGGATTACAGGTGCTAAGACACTGGCACTTGAGTTCCCTTGTGGTAGCAATAGGGCTCAGTAATATTTTCCCCCTCTTTTTTAATCATGCATTATTGAAAGCTGTACATCCAAAAACCTGTCAATAGTTAAAATAAAAAAACATTGCCATGATTCTTGTAAACAAATAATTAAGGTTTAATAAGAAGCTTGCAGTCATTACTGCTGTGTGTAGAACAGCACACATCTAATTGGAAAAAACAAACAAACAAGATTTCTCTGCACCTAGATGCCTTCTAGACCCTGACCATTTACTGAATCACTAACCCAAATGATCAGAAACCTTAGAATTCTGCCTTTGCAGTTTTTGCCTCAATAAAACCTGTCAACATGTTTGCAGAGTACAAACACATGCACAAAAAATGTGGCAGGGAAAGAACTGGTTACAAGGATTGATATGGAAAAGTTCAGGCTGGGATTTTAGGAAAGAAGCAGAGCACTTAAGGGGCTCCATGTCAGCTAAAGCCCAATTCTGGTGTCATTCAGCACACTGAACTTCTGTTAAATTCAGTGAGTGCTAAATGTGGAGCAGACGCAGAACCAACTCTTCATCGAGCTAAATAAAAACTAAAACTAAACATCAGATTATCCTAGTGGCATGTCTCTTCCATTATTGGAGCACTGTATGTTTATTTTCAAATTCTTGGTACTTGAGACATAAAACTAATCGACAGCCAATACAAGAGATCAAATTTACTAAAGCAAGGTTTCTGTGGCACTGCAATTTAGAAGCTGGAATTCCATGACAGAGCCATTTAAATTAAAGAGTGATTACTGAATTAAATATGTACATGAATAATACAATAAGCACGCTACCTCTATTGTTCTATGTTTTGACACTAAACTGAACAATGCTCTGCCTTACATTTTCATTTTTCAAGGGCGTGTCCACACTAGCCTTTACAAAGGTGTTAACTACCATGAATTAGTTGACACTAAATTATTTCAAAGTTTAAAAAAAAAAAGCTTAGTGCAGACATGGCCAAGGGGTATAGGGTGTGGACCCAGTGAAGACAGTGACAGTCAAAAATGCAGATTTATGATCTGTTGCATAGTTTTTAAAAGTTAAGGAACAAAAACAAAATCCTAATTGCAGCCCCCTCACACAGTAACTACCCTCTTTGACACACATACCTTAAAGTTTTGTAGAACAGGCTTAGCAGGACTCTTGCTAGGGATTTTAAAGAGCTTTTAAGCCAGAATTCTGCAAATGCTCACGCATACACTTACTTTTATGGATATGAATAATCCCACTTAAAGACACTGGACACATGCAAGTGTTTGCAGGATTGGGGCCTGAGGGCTTGTCCCCAAGGCAAAATTTACCAGTGAAACCAATAAAATTATAGTAGTATAGCCCCAGGGTAGACTCTCTTACCTTGGCATAATAGTGGCTTTTTTAGTTTAGCTTTATTCCCTTCCAGGCAATAAGCTAAACCAAAAAACAAACCACCACCACATTCTTTACACCAGTACAAGGCTATGTCTACACTGGCAATTGAGCGACAATCTTTCAGAGGTGTTAATCGCCCGCCCCCATCCCCAAAAAGGCAAAAGTTTTGCTGCGACAAGCACCAGTGTGAACAGCGCGTTGTTGGCAGGAGCGCTATCCTGTCAACAATGCAAACGTCACCTTTAAGTCCATTCTACATACTAAGGTGTGAAATTAGTGGTGAAGGCTAGGTGAGCTGTAGTCAGTTAAAAATTGACATCTCCGGTGGACTTTTATTTAAAGTTAGTTGGTACTTCTTAGGGGTGCAAAGGTAACCTGACAAAACCCAAAGCTATGCTGTCTTATTGAGAGTGCAGACAGCCTGAATGAGATGAATGTGGTTCGTTTTCACCTCTACCAAGTATCATCACTGTAACCTAATTAACTATGCTGTCATTTTAGCAGCAATAATTCCAGTATGGCTGTATATTGGAGTCCAGTGATGCAAAAAATCTTTTACTGCAGGTCACCTAGCCCATACTCAATTTCAAATGTTATTGAAATACATAGTGATGCTAGTTTGCTTTCACTAGATCTAAAATAAATAAAAGCAATATTAATAGTAAGCCAATTCTCTGGGTGAGGTGCAAAGACACTAAACCAGTGTCAGTTGAGAAAGATGTCCCCATTTAAAATCCCTTAGTAGTGAGTAAGAGGCAATTTGAAGCACATGCAGACATAGTGGCTTCAATTGGAGCACGGCTCCAACTTTAATGAATTAGCTTAATAACACCCTTTTGAGATTAGGGAGGGTCATCATTTTATATATTAGAAAGCTAATACACACACCTTCTCTATAAGGGCACTGTTTCTGAAAGTTATTCACTTCACAACCATCAATATGTCTTCAGCATTGCTATCAAAGTATCTTCAAGAAATGCTCCAAGAATTAATTCCTTTAAAGAGAGCAAAGAGGATTATATAGCTAGATTTATTTACATCGAGATTCTCACATTTGTTTATAGTGTGGACTACAGTTTTAGAGAGACTGTGAATGGGAGGGAGGTGATCCACAAGGCAATCAGTCATCATGACACATCCCTGTAGTAACTAGAGAAGTTACTGTACTTACATTAAAAAAATAAGTCAAGCAAGGAGTGCATTTTTAGTAGTCTTAATATGATTTAGCAGTTGGAAGTTAGGAAAGCCTGCACTATGTGACTAGCCAACTCTTTTCTCTCTCTCTCTGTCACATACAGAGTGTTTGATAGAGAGTTGCAGTTCTGGCCCATATAGTGAGTGCTCCCCAAATTAGGTAAATAAGAGGAAAGCTAATCAAACCCAAATTCTAGACGCAACAGAGGCAAAGAGAACTGGATATGGGTCTATATGCACAGGCGGATCATAATTGTACAGTTCAACAATTAGTCTAGGGCAAGATTGTCAGTGCCTATTTAGGTGCCTAAAGATGCAGATACAGTTCTTTGGGGGGGGAAAAAATCTTACTAGGTACTTAACTTCCCTAAATCTGATGTTCACATGCGGATTAACAGACCAACAAAGAAACAAAAAACAAACAAAACAAAAACAAAACCTGATGGTGGTCAAAACCTCCTGTTACAGCTCAGTAACTAGTATTATCAATTTACTCATAGACTATTTAAGAAGGGAAAAAATATTTACTAAAAGTGGAGTGTGAAAAACAGCTGAGCAGACAAGAGATATAGTTCATAATTCTACACTTACTGTAATGCCACAGTCGACTTAAGAAGATTTGGAATATTACGTTATCAGAGTGGTTGCTGCCAATTCACACTTAAGGAGGAGACAACGTAATATGAAACTATTGTACCAAAACTCCTTCCTGGCAAGGCTGGTTAAAGTGGCATTGTCATGTTAACATACAGAAAAAAATATATTCACAGAATGTTAAAGTTGCAAAGTCAAGCATTTAAAAAACAAACAAACAAACAAACTGGGAAATGTCAAGATGATGGTTGTCTGTGCAACTTTCGTTTGCTCCCCTCTTGTCCATATAGCATTGTGATTCAGTCTTTAATTATATGATCACATAATATTTCCTCCCCCACACACAGTGTCCCTGCCACATTCACTGAACAGGATGGACTGTGCTCACCAAACGAGCAGCTATTCAATATTTTATACTCAATGTATGACCTCAGGTTTTATTTATTGCACACCATTTGAGGCATGCACTGAATATTGTATTAATTTCCTCGTGAGCTTTTCCATGGTACTCACTGTAATATCTCAGTGTTCAAAAACATGAAGAATTTATCTTCAGAATAACTCTGTGGGGAAAGGTGTTATTGCCCGTTCATAGATGGGGATTTAAGGCACAGAGAGATTAAGGGCAAAACTGTCATTGGTCCACTAGTTTTGGGTGCCCAATTTGAGATCCCTAGGGCCTGATTTTTCAGATAATCGCTTTTGTAGTGCTTCAAATATGTGAAGTACAGCTCCCACTGACTTCAGATGCAGCAGTGCGCCTTCAATACTTCTGCGAATCTGACCCCAAGGTCTCAAGTTGGGCACAAGTTAGCAAGGAACACACAATTAGTGGCTACACACGCAAAATTTAGTTTAAGAGATTTGCCCAGCATCTCAGAGCAACTCTATGGCAGAGGCAGGAACAGAATCCAGTTCTGAATAGTATGTGATCATGTAATTAAAGACTGAATCATAATACACATGCACAAAGGAGCTGAATTAAGGCTGCACAGGCAACCTCAATCCTGGCATTTCCTAATTTTTGAATGCTTGACTTCACAACCGTAATGTTCTTTGAATACAATTTTGGGTTTTTTTTGCAATTTTGTAGGTCATCAGCAGATCCGCTATAGATCCACAGAACAGACCTCTTCCACTTGAGTTAATGGGTAGCATTAAGAGGCTGTTATGGTCTGTCCTCCTCCTCCTCTAGTGGCTTGCCCAATCAAACACTTTGCCACTTTTCTTTGTTGTCAGTCAGTTGCAGTACTGTTGGGACTAGGGAATTCTGGGTTCTATTCCAGATTCTGAAAGAGTATGTTCTATGGGTTGCAGACAGCTGCCCCATCTCACCCAGTCTGACCCTGCCATTCCTTCCCCATCTGAGCCCTTCTGTCCACCTTCCACTGCTCCCATCCTCCCAGAGCCTGCCCCTTTCTCCCTCTGTTCCCAGAACACATCCTCCATCCTGCCTGTCTTCCTCCCCCACTTCACCCCTATACGTTCAAGCACATCAGGATGTTCCCTTTTCACCACACTACCTGGGCACCACCAGGAGGTATACAGAGCATAAGACAGACACTATTCCTGCTCTCAGTTCTGGTACCTGAAACCACACCAGCCTGCAGGAAAAGTCCTGCTTGGCCCCAACGGCTCTGGGATGGAACATTCTCAGTCACTCCGTATGGCTGGCACATGCAGAGTCTAATCAGCACACAAGAGTT